TAGATAGATAGATAGATAGATAGATAGATAGATAGATAGATAGATAGATAGATAGAGACAGAGACAGAGACAGAGACAGATATATAGATATAGATATAGATATAGATATATAGATATAGATATAGATATAGATATAGATATAGATATAGATAAAAAGTGGGCCAGGAATCCATTTTTCCTGCAGTTGAATATACCTCTGAGAATCTCCATTATGGCTTTGTTTTAAGCCCAGAAGGAAACATTTCAGTGATGGGATTCAAATTTTTTTACTACGAGTTCTGTGGGCGTTGCTTGGTGGGCGTGGTGTGGCTTGGTGGGCATGGCTTGGTGGGTGTGGCAGGGGAAGGTTACTGCAAAATCCCCCTTCCCTCCTCGCTCCTGAGTGAAGGTTACTGCAAAGTCCTCATTCCCTCCCCACCCCACTAACCTGCTTTCCAACTCCGTTCTCCTGTGCAGGGCAACCAAAGAAGACCCGGCCAATCAGCTGGGACTCAATGGGAGGCAGAGAATAGATGGGGGCGGGGCCAGTCAGAGGTGGGATTTGCCGGTTCTCTGAACTACTCAAAATGTCCGCTACTGGTTCTCCAGAACTGGTCAGAACCTGCTGAATTCCACCTCTGAAACACTTCCCCCATTTCCTGCACATCTCTGCTTCTCTGTTTGGATCCATCCCAGTGACATTTCTTTCCTCTTGCCCCGATTTTTTAATTTCATGTCAATGCATGAATCATCAGCTTTCTCAACGTGGCTCCCCCCACCCACAGTTTCGTTGCTATTAACGTTCCCCATCCTGCATCGTCAACAGCTTCCATCTGGCAGATTGAAAGGGCACCGGATTGATTAAAAAGTTAGAAATAAAATGTAGTCTTCCTCGTTAACTATTTCCCCCCCTCCTAGCTATTAACCCCCCCCCCCAATAACATGAAAATGCAAGCTGCTTATTCCCCAAAGCAAACAAAATGCAATTAGGGGAGGTTAAATTGTTTGTCGATGGCACGCTTTGGTGTCCCTACCTTACCGCCCCAGGTCAACGTCTTCCATTTTTAATCCTGCAGATACTTCACCGAGCTCGAAGCTGTGCTCGATCAGCCAATCACAGATGTCTTCTACTTCTCTGTGTTCGACGCTGACAACAACCAACTTGACAGCCAGATGTTCACCGTTACTGTCACAGCAGCCCAAAGTGTGCCTCCGGCTATTACCTTTTCGGACCGAATTACGGTACGTCAGTAACCCTGTGAGATTCAACGAATTGAATTATGTGGAAGGTGTAGTCCTTGACTTACGACCTACAATTGAGCCCAGAATTTCCATTTGTTAAGCGAGACAGCCGTTAAGTGAGTTTTGCCCCATTTTACGACCTTTCTTGCCACAGATATCAGGAAAAAACTGCAGGCGTTAAAGTCAGTGACACGGTTGTTCAAGGAATCTGACTTCCCCATGGAAACTTTGCTTGTCAGAAGGTCTCAAAAGGTGATCACATGACCCCGGGAAACTGCAACCCTCATAAATACATGCCAGTTGCGGAGTATTTGATTTTTGATCATGTGACCATGGGTGTTGAGGTAATTCCCCGTTAGGAGAATGAGCGCATACAGGGAGACGTATAGAGAGTAGTGTTGGAATAATACACACAGAGCACACAGATACACTGTACAGTAAATGTAGGTTTTTACTTCCATAAAGGTTTAAGCAAAGTCCAAAATAGGCAGTCCAAAAATCATTCACAGGTAAATCAGTCACTTTTTCAATCCAGGGATAATTCAGTAACAAAGTCCAGTGTCAAAAAATTCAGTATCAGACTTACATTAAATCCAGTAATATCAGTCAATTAGGAAAAATGGAGGAACGGCAATATTTTCCAACAGAAGGAAACAGAGATACACTCACACTCTCTTCTGAGACTCAGACTAAATAAACCAGGTTTCTGGCTCCATCTTATGGCCGTTTGAGAAACCACACCCAATTGCATGCTTTTGCATTCCCTTAAAGAGACAGTATTAAAATGTCTATCCTGGTTTATATATTTCTAACCCAAATACCTGTTAGGTGACTTATATTCCTAACAATGGGGATGTTGCAACGGTCATAAGCCGGGGTGGGCTTCAAAAATTTCAGCAACCAGTTCTCTGCCCGGCAGGGGGGGTACGTTTTTATCCTCTTCGGGCTCCGGAGGCTTTCCTTGAGGGTGAAAACAGCCTCCTGTGGGCTCTGGAGGCCATCCGGAGGCCAGAAACAGGCCTGTTTCCAGCCTTTCAGAACCTCCGCGAGGCCCATTTTTCACCCTCCCCGAGCTCTCGCACGGGCCCTGCACTTACCCCACATTCAAAACAGGCCCACATGAGGAGTCCTAGGAAGGGAGAGATGTGGTGGGTGGGGCCAGCCAGGAACGGGATTTGCCAGTTTGCTGAACTGCGCAGGATCTTAACTAGAGGATCGCCCGAGCATGTGCGAACCCATAGCAGCCTGTGATGTCTCACCTGTACAAAAGAGGTGAGAAGTCCAAATTTCCAACTGAATACAAACAAGCAAGCAAATCCAGTAATTATAGAGTTAAATTCCTTGAGCCGATAAAGTTCTTGGCAGTCTCACACACGCTGTCTGCCAAGTCCGACAAGAAAGCAGGAATATAAATCACACAAGCTGTCACCACACACAGGATATTCCGGAGCTCCTCTGAATAAGTCACACGTCCCGAACAAGTTCCCAGAGTGAACACACCCACTTTTATTCCCTGTGGGGGCGTGTCAGTCCCTCAGCTCAGTCTCTGATTCGTCCCTTCTTTCTGCGCTGCAGCTCGCACTTTTGCCTGCGACGTTGTCTCGCATCAAGCCAGCATTCCTCTGCTTGATTCTCAGTCAGAGACTCTGATACGCCCTCCTCCTTTTCCTGATTAGTCTCAGGTCTTCCCTCCCGGTTATCTGCCGACACCTGAGGCACAATCAGGGAGGAAGGCATTGCCGAAGAGGAAGGTCCTGGGGAGGAAGGCATTTCCAAAACCTCCTCTTCTCCATTGTCTGAGTCTTCGTCCTCTAACGAAGCAGGCTCAAACCTCAGAGCCACAACAGCAGCCCATCCTTGGTCATAAGTGTGAAAAACAGTCATAAGTCTCTTTGTTTAGTGCCATTGTAAGTTCAAACGGTCACTGAAGGAATTTATTTAGTGACCGATGTAAGGTGTAAGTTGAGGATAAAGCACTGGAAAGCAGTATATAAGTCTAAGTGCTATTGCTATTATACATTACGGGGATTACCTCATACGAAGTATTTCAGATCACAAATATTAAGAGGTGGAGGGTAAAATAGAAGCCTTTTTTTGTAAGTAATGCTCAAAATCAAATTTCCAGATAGAGCAGAATGATGTTTTTTGTGTCCAGGTAGAAGAAGGGGGACGAACACCACTGCAGCCTCACCATACCCTTGGCCTGGAAGGTGGCCTTGCTGAAGAAGGCCTGCTTGTAAAAATCACAAGTCTTCCAAAATACGGGTACATTGAAAACACCTGGACAGGTAAGGTGCGATTTCATACGGTCCTCGACTTACGACGACTAATTTTCCAAATTCTGGGGTTCCAAATTTTTCCATTGCTAAGCAAGGCAGCTGTTAAGTGAGTTTAAGCACCATTTCATGACCGTTTTTGCCACCGCCATTAAGCAGATTGCTGCAGTTGTTAAGTGAATCAGGCAGTCACTAAGCGAATCCGGCTTCCTCTGTTAACTTGGCTTGTCAGAAGCTGGCTGGGGAGGTCACAAATTGGGATCACGTGACCGCGGTATGCTGCAGCCATTGTAAATACACCGGTTGTCACTCACCCAGTTTCGAACCATGGGGATCCTGCAATGATTGTTTAACACATAATCAGAGTTGGAAGGGACCTTGTAGGTCATCTAGTCCACCCCCCACCCAAGCAGAAGACCCTACACCATTTCTTTCTTTCTTTTTTCTTTTTAAACAAGTTTTATTCAATTTTCCACATTTTAAAAACATCTCTTTTTACAGGTTTCACATATACATACAAATATGACCATAGTTACATATTCAGTTTTTGTATTCAACTTCTTAACAATGCTTTTATACATTTTCTATTTTATTGTATTATTCCAAATGCTTACCTCTTATTTAATTCATATATGTTAGATTCATAACTATTATACTTTGACACCTTTAACTGTCACATTTGTATATTTCATCTTACATTCTAATTAGATACACTTTTTCTAAAAAGTAGTTTCCCCCCTAAATTATCAATTTAAGTATGCCACCTCAAAGTACTATATATTCATTAATCATCTCCCCTTTTAAGTCCCATTAAACATTTAACTTTTTATTGAAATTAATAATCCCTTTAAAACTACATAGCATATATAAATAAGATTTGTGTACAGTTTCAAAAAAAGACATATTAATCTATTCATTTAATCCTGAACCCTGATATTAATTTCATTTCAGCTCTCCTCCTATATAATTTCATTTATTTCAGTATATTTAATACACATATTCCATTAGTTATTGCAGTTATCTCTATACATGAAAGAAAAGAGCTTAGACTCCAATATCAAAAAATAACTTCCATCTTGTCAATCAATATGTCCCTATTTCATAACTTTAGACCTCCTCACCTTGCAGAATCCCCTTTTAAAATATTAATTAGCCATTGTCTTTATGCATTCTAAATAAACAATTCCTTTTCATTTTTTTGCAATTCCCATATTTCCTTCTTTCCAAATCCTGCTTCTTTTCCCTTTCATTCTCCCCTTTCTTCTGTCACTCCAGTTTTTATCCCCCTCCTTATTCCACCCTTCAATTTTCTGCTGTTTCTGTTTATCTTTTTTAATTTTACAGATATTCCCTTTTTTATTTAACTTCTTATGTCTCATGTTTTTATTTCCCATTCTTCTCTTCCTTCTTTTCAGAGTTCTTTGTTCCCGATGGTAGTTAAAAATGGCTTCTCCTGTAGTCAGCTCACCTCATCTTCCATCTTTTGTCGTTGTTGTCTTTGTTGTTCATATTCTAAGATCTCATTTTCCAAGAATTTTAAAGTATAAACCAGTGATTCACCTCGTTCTTGTAATATTTCTTTCATGTTTCTAAGTTCCATTTTTAATTTCAGAAGAGATATCGCCATTTTACACGTTTTTATCTAATCCAAGCAGTGTCTCTGAAGTTTGTTTCCAACAATCAGCTTTTATTTTGTTCCTCTCAAATTTTTAGTTCATAACTAGTCCAACTTCAAGTCCATCCAAATTCAACAATTAATCCCAGGGCAGAATCTTCCTGCTTTTCTCTTTGTTTCAACCTTTCAATTTTTCCAGAATCTTGTTATATTGTATCAATATACCTTAATATTTTTTAGAAGCAGAGCCTTTTAGTAATAAAAAATTAACTTTAACCATTAGATGGCACTCTTTATCATAACAAATCTTCACCCCTTTTTTCCCCCCTTCTGTTCGGGGCTTTTTAAACCAGTTTTCCAAAAAAGATCAAAACCAATTAATCCAAATTAGTTAAATAATTTCTTCTTCCAGCTTCTATCTTTTCCGGTTCGAAGCCCCACCGCTGGCAAAGAACAATTTACACCCTTTTTCCCCCTCCTTTCTCTCCGCTGCTTAAAGTCCTTTTTTTAAAAAAATCTTAAATATTAATCCTGGGGTAACTTTCATTTCATTATAACGTCCCATTTCTCTTGCTGTCCACTCCTTTCTCTCTCCTGCACAATCTTATTCTGGCTTACTCTTCCCCTTCAGGGTAACCATTTTAGACCACCGCTTCAGCCGTCTTCGGGAGGGACCTTTGCCAAGCCAGGGAGGGGGTTTGCAACACCCTTCTACCTGGCTGATGGTCTCCCCTTCCTCCGCCACCCCTAGGAGGCGGCTTCTGCCCCAGATCTTGCTGATCGGGGCTCTGGGACAAAGAAGCACGGACCAAAGCTGCGGACAATCGCGGTCAGTGGTCCGTCTTCAGGGAAGTCTCGTCCAACCCCCTGCCCAAGCAGGAGACACTACACCATTTCTGACAGAGGGCAGTCCAATCTCTTCTTCAAAGCCTCGACTAATGAAGCTCCCACAACTTCCGAAGGCAACTTCTGTTGCATGGATTGATTGTTCTCGCTGTCAGAAAGTGTCTCCTTATTTCCAGGTTGAATCTCTCCTTGTTCAGTTTCCATCCATGATTCTTTGTCTGGCTTTCAGGTAACTTGGAAAATAGTTTGACCCCCTTCCTCTCCGTGGCAGCCCCTCAGATATTGGAAGACTGTTATCATGTCTCCCCTGGTCCTTGTCTTCACTAGACTAGCCATGCCCAGTTCCTGTAACCGTTCTTCGTATGTTTTAGCCTCCAGTCCCCTAACCATCCTGGTTGCTCTTCTCTGCACTCTTTCTAGAGTCTCAACATCTTTTTTATAGTGTGTTGGCCAAAACTGGATGCAGTATTCTAGGTGTGCTCTTACTAAGGCTTTATAGAGTGGTATTAGTTACCTCACTTGATCTCGATTGTATCCCTCTGTTAATGCAACGTAGGATTGCATTAGTGTCAGGGCTCCAACAAATCCACCCCCATTCAAACCAAAGTCTCTAGCCACATCTCAGAGAAAAGAAAATTGATTTATTAGAAGTGGCCATGTTGGCATTTTGCTGGGTGGAGCCAATACTAAATGACATCATACATTTCCCCCTTGACCCTGGTCTTCCCTAACCCTAACCCCCTGGATGTGACTTCTCCAATGGGACACATCCATCTCCAAGAGTCATCCATGATGCTCTCCAATAACCTTCTTACGTTCTGACACCTTTGGGCTGCTGGGGTGATTACTTAGGCAAACAAGGAATGCCTTGTTTTCCCCTACTCCCTTTTTCTGGCAGCTAAAAAGACCAGAGGAGTGTCTTTTTAGTTGACATTTAGCTTTTTTGGCAGCTGCTGCACACTGCTGGCTCCTATTTAGCTGGTTGTCCACTAAGACTCCAAGATCCCTCTCACAGTTACTGCTATTGAGCCTGGTTTCACCCAGTCTATAGGTGTCCTTTTGGTTTTTCTTGCCTAAGTGTAGGACTTTGTAAGCATGAGAACCGGTCATAAGTCACCTTTTTCCATGCCGTTGTTCAAACTGTCACTAAATGAAGGGTTGTAAGTTGAGGAAAGGCATTATTTTGTTGTGAAATACTGTTTGTTACGGTACATATGCAAAAACGTGACTGCAGTGAGAATTCTGTACGGACAGGAATGGAAAGGTACGTCATAATGAAAGAATCATTGGAGTAAGTGATGGAACTAGCAGTGATGGCATAATTGACTCTTTTAATTAGAAAAAGGAATATATTCAGTTTTATTTTCTACTTGGAAACCACTTCTGGACTTTTTGCTCAAGACAGAAATTTTTTTGGGGGGGGGTTAGTTGATTAATCTAGTTTGTTGTTACAGAAATGGGTAGTACGTCTTAAGTTGGTAAAATAAAAAGCTGAGGATTTAATTCTATTTTGTACTTTACTGTGCTGGAAAAGGTTGGAAGTCAATACTTTTTTCCCCCTTTCCTCTACGCTTTTCTTTCCCATTTCTATCCCTTCCCAATTTTCCTATGATCTTTATTTTTATTTATGTTTGACATTATGATAAGCTTAATAAAATCAAAGTGAGATGGGCGGCAAACATTTCCAACAAATAATTAAATTTTTGATTTGCTATATATGCAAAAACCTGACACAGAATCAAGTTATTGTTCCTGCTTTAAAAAAGAAAGCAAAAAAAAATTATTAAAAAAAACACAACATTTTCCTTGTAAATACCTTTTTCCTTGCAGGCAGACGCCTTGGTTTTGGAAATGCCGAAAGTTCTGATTTTTCTTTCTCACTTCAAGATGTGTTGGAGAACCGTATTTATTATTTTCAGAATGTCCATGAAAGTATTGAACCATCGATGGACAGCTTTAGTTTTTATATCAGTGATGGCTTCAGCCAGTCAGAAATCAGCAGTGTCAACATTACTATTAAGGTAATTGAATTCACTGTGTAGTTTTCGTTTGTAAAACTGTTGTGATAGCAGAAATAGTGTCTGGGTTCAAGCAAATTGCTAAACTGTACTTTGTTGAGAAAGGCAAAAATGACTCAGTTGTTCACACCTAATTGAAAGCACAAACCACAATTGTTATTGAGGCTGATTAATTGTCAAGAAGTCAGTAAGTTAAACTCAGCAAATCGCATGATTACTCAATGTGAATCAAGACTCTCTCTCTCTCTCTCTCTCTTTCTCTATGTGTGTCTCTCTCTGTGTCTCTCTATCTCTCTCTGCATATGTGTATGCACATGCATCTGTATATGCACACTATACACAAACACATTAACCACTAGTAGCTGCAGTTTCTACACCCATTAATACAAATACACAACATGTACCAGGAAAATACAAATTCAGGTTTCTGGTTTCTTTCATGAAATGCCCCGATGCTTGAAATGTTTTCAGTTAGATTTCCTTTCAAAATGTATTCAGAATTATTACGAATGCTGCTCTAAAGCCATAGGACTCTTATATTTCCATAATCTTATTTCTAGATTTCATAGCTTCTCATGGCCTTTCCTCTTCTGTTTCAAGAACCAGTTGTTGAACTTAATTTTTCTCCCCGTGATTTTCCTTCTGTCCTTGTAGCGCCTGAATGATGAACCACCTCAGTTAAAGGTGAGCCCTGTCAGCGTGCGTGAAAACACAGGAGCAGTGATTAGGAATTCCTCCTTGAGGCTAAGGGACTTGGACACTTCGAATGACCTTCTGGTTTTCACGATAACCAAGGCACCCGTTCATGGTGAGACATATTATTGTAGTAAAGCTGAAGAAATAGCATTAGCAATTAGATTTATATAGAAATCTCCTATTTGTGGTTTCTTTATGCAGTATGGATTACAGCAAAAGATCCAAGCAGTTCTTGACTTATGGCCACAATTGAGTCGAAACTTTATGTTACTAAGTGTTCAGTGAGTTTTGCCTCATTTTACGACCTTTCTTGCCACAGTTGTTAAGTGTCTCACTATAGTTGTTAACTTAATAATAATAGCACTTAGACTTATATACCGCTTCACAGTGCTTTACAGCCCTCTCTAGGCGGTTTCCAGAGTCAGTCTCTTGCTCCCAACAATCTGGGTCCTCATTTTACCCACTTGGGAAGGAGGGAAGGCTGAGTCAACCTGGAGCCTGGTGAGATTCAAACTGCCGAACTGCAGGCAGCAGAAGTAACCTGCAGTACTGAATTCTAACCACTGCATCACCAGAGCTCATGCATGGTTTAAACTGGCTTCCCCGTTGACTTTGATTGTCAGAAGATCACAAAAGGTGATCGATGATCTAGGGACACTGCAACCAACATAAATATGAGCAAGTTGCCAAGCATCTGAATTTTGATCACATGACCAGGGAGATGCTACAACGGTCATAAGTGTGAAAAACGCCCGTAAGTCACTTTTTTCAGTGCAGTTGTAATTTCGAATAGTCACTAAACGAACTGTTGTATGTGGAGGACTAGCTGTAGTTGTGTATTCTCATATTGCCACTGTTCTTATTCTGTGGTAAAGGGTTCTAAACACTCATAGTATGAAGAAGAAGTAAGTTAGGAGTAGAATTAAGATATTAATGCAATAGAGAGAAAACTATCTGTGAGGAACTAACTCATAATTCTTGACCTACTCTCAGGATACCTGTACAGACGAGAATCTCTGCATTCTCTGGAGAATGGACAAGCTCTCGCTGAGGGATCCACTTTCACCTTCCAGGATGTCCTGGAGGAACTGATCGTTTATAAATTGAACAGTTTGGTAGCCCAGAGTGACGAGTTCCAATTTTCACTCTCCGATGGCCTCCACATTGAGACAGGGAAAGTGGAGTTTGTGGTAGCCTCACCAAGGATGGACCTTCCCAGATTGGTCACGAACAAAGGCCTACAACTCCCTGCTGGTAAGGGGGAAAAAAAATCAATTCTGAATATGATTTTCTGAAGTCCCCTTATCAAAATTCCCAAGTAGCCAAATTTCGTGAAGATTCCTGCCAGACCTTCAGCTTTTATATTTCTTGGTCAACAGACGTGGAAGCCCACCCATATTGTTCTAAATTGTCCCCACCATTTGGAGATCTCAGATGCATGCAGTGTGCGTTGTGGCCTGCCAGCAGCTAGCAGAGCTGGCAGCAGAGTCGGACAGTGAGGAGGTTGGGGAGGAACATGGGCCAGTCCTGGAGGCTGAGGAAGGCTCGGATGAGGGCCCTGTGTCAGAGGCAGAGATGGGGCCAGGACAGTCTGGCAGTCATCAGCTGCCTTCGGAGTCAGACAGCAGTGAGGCAGGGTGTAGAGTTGTAATTGCAGGAATGTTCCAATCTCGGATGGCAAACCTCAGATAAAGAATGTTTCCAAGCAAACACAACTCAGGTAAACAAAGTCACTAATCTAAAGGAGGATTAGAGAGAGGAAGTAAACATATGCTAGACTTTAACTAGAGATAATTAACTGTATGGATTACTATGCTAAACAGTAACGAAAGTTAAGCAGTAACCAAAGTTAACCAATGATGG